GCGTGGCTGGTAGCAGTCTCCTTTCCATTCCCAGTACCAGGGATGGAAAACAACACTGGGCAAACTAGAGTTTGCTGCTGAATTGCCTCCTCGGCGCCTGTGCTACCTTTTAATTTTTTAATTTGGAAAAATATTTAAAATTACACATATTCTTGGCTAGTGTACAGAATGAATACTCAAGAAATTGCGGCTGCAGGTAGCAACCACAGAGCAAAACGTAGGTAAGGGAAGGTGACTTGGTTGGTGTCCTCTCAGCTGGTTTGAGAAAGCGAGCTCCCTTTCAATACCCGAACAGCCCTAAAGGAGTAAGTCAGAAAAAGCCGAGCCCCTCTCTTCAGTGGTCAGCACAGCCTAGTTCCCCAGTCCTGCCCTATCTCTTTGGGCATGCCCTTCCTTGGAGAGCCGGATTTAGCTCCTGATTCCTCTGCCTTTTAAATTGCCCCTGATTACGGTGAAAATGTGTTTGATTAAACAGTTATTTTGAAATCTGGCACAGAGCTTGAGCTTCTTAAATTGTCTACTTTCACCAATTCAAACATATTTACCACTTTTAAAATAAGTATGGGGAATTCTTAAATTTTTTGTGATTAAACTCTTTTAAAGTCATTTTTTTTGAGACATTTAAAGCTGAAATGAAAAAAGAAAGAAATCTTTCGTTAACTGCGCCTTAAGGCTAACGTTTGTCTAGCCCCAACTGATAGTGTTCTAAATGCTATTTAAAGTAGATGCTTTGCAATTAGATGCCAGACATCTTAAGGACCCAGGTAATTTATTTAATTGTTATACTCTAATTAGCAGAACAAATGTTATACAAGTTGTTTGTGTTAACTAGATTAGAGCGAAATTGCATCACAAGGTAAGTCTGACACCTTAAGGAGAGGCAATTAGTTTTATGATTGTTTTGCTTTTAATGTATTTAAAATAAAGTAGCTAAGGTTAATTTAAGTGGAATGTGCTTTAAGCTCCTTAGAATTTCCTCAGTTTAGGGTTTTCTTTACCCTTAAATTCAGGATGTGACCCACTCACTGGCTTTCGTAATCCTTCTGTGTTTTGTTAAGAAGAAAGTAATCAGAAAATATTCCAAGGAAGCCACAGCCTCCACTTACCAGACAAAGCATGAACAAGGAAACATTGCTTTCTGGAGGGAAGGCTTTATTCATGCGGAGTACTAACTGAGCTCCGAAAAGGGTAATTTTTTTCCCAAGGCTAAACAAAAACTTGGTGTACATGTTGAATTACGAATTTGATCAACTAGCAACTATATTTAGATAGTGTCATTTATTTTACACACTTAACAGTAAAAATTGTTACCCACAAGAAAAACAATTCAAATGTTTGGGAATAGATTAGTTTTCCTTCTGTGGCAGGTGTCTTGGCAGTAACCAAGGTCACCCAATATGCTTTGTGAATGAGTTATAAATGATACCAATTGTAGGTGTGCCACTATCAATTAGTTCTCCTTGTGGGCTTATAGTTTTGGTGGCTTAGTTCTCAGAAAGAGAATATTGAACCCCAGTTTGTTAAGCCAGCAGGTCAGAACCAATCGCAGTGAATTTGAACTTGTAATACATTGCAAAATAAGCGATTTATGGTGTAGCTTGGATTCCTTGTCAGTGAGGAATAGAACTGAGGTCGCTTGTTACAAGGAACTTTTATAACCCACTCACCTTCATTTCACATGTTTATGGAGACTGTCTTCACTTATGATCCGCAGTTGACAGTCATAAAGCTCTTTGTTATAATTCTGATAACAATTTTGCTCCACATTGGCTCCAGTTCCACTGGAACCTGTCATAAATGGCTCGTTCATAAAACGGACCATCCTGTCCCTGTACTAATTTCATATTTATGGAGAGAAAGGAGTGCTCACCTGGAATTTTTTTCTCTCAGCCCCAGAGAAGGTGGAGTGAAAAGCAGCCTAAGGTTTTGCTAATATTTTTGTTGTTTTTGTTTTAGCAAAGTAACTTTTCAAGTAGTTCTATCAGCCAAGTATGTTCCTCTTCACCAAATTCTGGGAATTATTAGCTCTGAGCTTTTAGAAATGTTGTAGGGCTAAAGGGTTCATGAAA